GATCCAGGCCTGAAGGAGTTCCTGGATGCCTTAACATCTTTCCATGGTGGACCTGGCTTTCATCGTAATACAGCTGAAGGCCTTGTTAAGGCCACCAACATTTTTTTATTAAAAATTCAAAATACCCGGGTAAATGCAACACAATAATTTTTTTCAGAACTCTGAAACTTTTATTTTAAAGGGACAATTTATTTTGATTTGAATGGGGGACTGATTCACATAGGGGTGAAACAGTAATGTTTGGGGGTGTTGACCCTGTTCAATAAATGTCAGCTTTGTTCACTTTTCTTATTCAAACTGTGGTCTCAATTTCTTACACCTTCTTTCCTCCTAGATTCCTGGGTGCGTGCACCATTCATATTTCATTAGTTCATTTGGTACAGCTTACAGCAACAACGGGATTTGTTCAGATACAGGGCTGGATAGTGTCTCTTGATTGGTCTGCAATCTAGCAAAGACTGAATGGGCAGAAGGAGTTTATATAGACTTCCCTATGATTAGGGAATGAGTGGCAGCTGCAGGAAAAAACAGGGAAGAAGCAATAGCTGGGCTAGGTCAGGCTGGGAAATGGAGTTGAATTGGGGATAAACATGTAAACAATAGGCAAACCTGTGACAGTTTGTTGTGTTGGGGAAAGGGTGTGTAAAGCACATGCTCCAAAATTATGGGTTCATCTACCTGGCCTGACCTCTCCTCCCTCTGACATCACAAGTGGCTGCAGTAACAGGGCTATTTCATTGTTTCGATTGAGGGATCAAGCCAACAATTAGAAGAATGCACAACTACACACTACAAAACTAACTACTGTAGTAATGCTCTGCAGAACTAAGGTTTTGAATCATGCTGTCAAATGTCCGGGAGTTTAATTGATACTTAAAGGTTGTATAGAGGATTTTCCAAGGAACGAAAAATCCAGCGACTGTTTGTCCTTTTTCAAATGTTGCGCATGTGTGAAACCACCCCCCCTCCCCTACAGCTCCTACGTAGAAACGTCTCCTCCCGCCTCCTCCTTACGCCAGAAACAGGTTTGTTTACAGCCGGTGCGCTGCACATGACTTGTAAACAACTAACTACAGTGTTGGTTAGGCAAGACGGAGAAGTGAGGAGCGGGGGGAGCGGGTGTGCGGACATTTCGTTCGCGAACAAGAAGTGAGGAGCAGGGAGAAGAGCGGAGCAGGGAGCAGGGAGAGGGGAGAGGAGAGGGGAGCGGTGCGCGGAGATTCAGTGCGCACAGAAGTGAGGAGCAGGGGGAAGAGCGGAACCGGCAGTGGGGACAGGAAAGGGGTGCAGAGAAGAGTGTGCGGAGATTCAGTGCGAATGAACTAGCTACAACACGCAGCAGCAAGCGGACTCTTTCTTTGCCTTGAAAATTACGTTTTCAGACATAGGATATCGCTTTCGTGTCCTGAAAAACGTTTGTCTAGCTCTTGGAAATAAAGTACATTTTCATAATAAGCAGAAGTTTCCTGTCCAGGAGTAATTTGGCGACCAGTGCGTCAGTCTTAGACCGACTGCTTCAGTCGCGCCATCGCTGGAATGAATCTCCAAGAATCACCTTAGTTTGGCTTCGCTGCTTTTCCCCTTGTCTTCTTCTTTCAGCGACCTAAAAAAACGGACTTTCTTTTGTGGCTAACTGGATTCTTGTCGCCATTGCAACAAACTTTGTGCTAACTGCGAGGAAGATATAGGTAAAAAAAAAAGCCGCTAAGAACTGTTGCGTTGGTGGAGTAAACAGCGTCTGTGCGTCTTGCGTCTGTGGACTGTGTGACAGTCGTACGTAAACCACGTAACGGCAGCGCGCAGGCAAGTCACTTACGCTAGAAACGTAGGGAGTTTGATTGACAGCCTGTCAGCTAACAGATAACGAGGCAGTGTCGTTATCTATTGGCAAATGTTTAGCCCCACCATGTCCAGAGTTGATGAATTTTTATTCTCTTTTTTTTGGTCATCATAATTACAAGGCTACTGCACCTCTATAATCTATCATTGACAATTTGAAACAAAAAAAATCCTCCATACAACCTTTAATCAGCATCATGCTGGGAGTGTTCTAATGCATTTCTATTGGCATAATGTTCAGCAATTTTTATGGTGAAACAATGCACACATTAACAAACAGACAAAAAAGTTTTAAGATCATCTGAAAACAACACATCTGTGATCAATACAAATGTTCACGGTCCTGTTTAGGTGTTAGGTACAATGCCATGTGCCAAGTAATCAGCACACCTGGGTCTTAGTGAGAAAAATGATACAGACAAAATGAAGAGGGACAAACTGTCAGGGAGTTTTTGAGGAGAGCATGGAGAAACGGGCATGAAAGGTAGAGTGGCCATGACATGGAGCCTCAGGCTACCCGTAGAGGACATGGAGAGCACAGAGCACTGGGCGCAGAGAGGATGTGGAGAGAGAGCAGCTGGGCAGTGGGCACGGAGCGCCATGGCCCCCGGACAAAGTACGAGACACCCGAGTCGACCACCAGAGGAGCACCCACCCACAGCTCAGCTGGAGGGCACCACAACACAGAGCACCAGAAGCAGCGAAGCATGAGGCTCAGCCTGGGGTCTAAGAATGGTACCAGCCTTTAAAATGCAGCCATCCTGTTTATAAACAGTGGAAGGCTCTATATAGAACTAAATCCATCATTAACTTATTGTAATGTGAGATTCCAGGGAGCCTGGATTGATGATGTTACAGAAGACATATTTGAAACTATAACATGAGTAGATCATGATTTTACATGTTTCTCTTAGTAAACCACAAGATTGAAACCCCTTAATAATAGAAACGGGACTCAAGCCTGAAATGCAGGAAAATAAAGGACTACTCAAACATGCATGAATCAATTCAAATGACATGACATTGGTGAGTGAACATTATAACATGGTTAAAAAGTTTAGAGAACTCTATTTGATTACATGGACAAAAACAACTCTTGTTCGTGGATGGTTTGTAAATGTTTCTGTGCTTGCTGACTGAAAAGCAAGACTGAAATTATATCAAGACCAAACTTAAATCAAGATGTTTGCATCTTGCAATACTGTATTAACAAGTGAAAACCACAACAAGGCTTCATGGATTATACAGTTCTCATATATAATACAGAGAAAAACATTTAGATTTAGATGAAGATGCGCTGACGATATGGCATAACTGAAAGGTGTTATTATCAAACTATAATATCAGTTATATTGTTGATACAGCCTGACTGGATTCATTGTAAAAGAGCATTCCATTTCACTAATCTAATTGTCTCATACTCCTTGCCACATTATTGGTTGAACAGGCTAGCAATGGTTTGGAAATAAACACATGAAATTAACTTAACTAAATGACTTTGTCTCAATCATACATTTTCCTTCTAAAACAGTTTGGCAGTTTTAGTCATAATCATTGCTTGTATAAGTGCACGGCACATTCACACAATTTTTGACACTTACATCCAGCCATGTTCAGAGGATTATTAAAGAGAAAACATACTTTTTAGCTTACCAGTTGATGGTATCTTTTAGTATATTACAATTTCTTCCTGTAATTAATTGACAAAAATGTCCTCCGTGCTTCTCTGCTCAGCAGTCACACAATGACTCATTTTCATCACTACCAAGTACAGACAGGACACCAACATCCTAGCTCCAAAGGCCCTATTGTTTTCCATTCGCTTGGATTGCCATGCCCATGGAATGGGTATGAATGGCTATGATTCCCACCTTAGATAGAAAGTTACAAAACATACTATTTATCAATACTTGCAAAATAAACTTTTTAATTTTAATTGTGTGCTAAATAATATAATAGGCATCATCTCCTAATATTTGTGTAATTCCTCAGGCATCCAGGTATGTTTCAGAGCAAACTTTTAATATCGTAAAATGTATACATATATATGCAACATGGCCTGAACTGACACTTTTCCTGGTTATAGTACTGTGCATATGTACATACGTAAACATTTGATGATCTGTGTGTCTGATAATGTACAGTAAAAGTGGGTCAGTCAAGTAGCAGGGCATGAGGGGGGTTTTGTATTTACAAGGCCTATCTTTACAGAATACAAAGGTTATGTTCAAGGCTAAACGGCACATGGGTGGCATTTCAAACCTGGGTGTACGGTCAGGGCATGCTTATTACATTAACACATTCACTGTACAGGCTTTGGTTCCATAAGCATAACGTCACGGAAGGATATGCAGAAGGTTATAAAGGATTTACATATCACTCCATATCTAACAAAGGACACTAATTGAAAAAAAAAAAAAATTGTAGCCACACTCCCCATTCAGAAACAGAAGAAGAATCGGAAAGGCTTTATTGACATTGTTGGTGAACAAAGCTTCACAAACAAGGAATATGCTTTGGCAATATGACGCAAATATGTAACTTTAATATGAGGAAAAAATAAGCAAGCATAGTCAAATTCTAGTGCAAAACATTTGTAAATCTCCAAGAACTGTCACTTTATTGAATAAGGTTTTGAGAATTTATTTTTAGATTCATAGTTTGACATAAACATAGTGACTGGAAATCATGTCAGCATGATAGCCTGAAACCTATCTTCCATAATCCAATACTGATCCATGTAAGTGTTCCATAGATTAGTGGATCATGATAGAACTTTGTTTAGAAAACCCCAGCTTACTGCTGTACAATACGCTTAGATATGTAATTTTATAATTTTGTTTCCAAAAGTATGTAAAGAAGAGTCATACCTTAAATGAAAAAACAAAATCAATGTAAACTTGGCAGTCTACTCTTCAACAGTGTGTTGCTGGAAAAAAATGACATGCAGTAGTATTACATACAATTCCAACAGGATATGCTTTGATAATACAAGGATAATTTTAGACATTTCTTTCAGGTTATTTTAAAAATCAATCCAGTTGACAAAACGTACAAGAACAAATCAGAATTGTTGTATCACAGGGCAAATACAAAATGTACAACCATGAAATGAATATGCAACATAAGCATGTACAAGTTTGAGTTGGCTAACTAATTGTTGTGTACTTTGTACAAATGTGTTGCTGTTAACAATTGTCTTAAACTACTATTAGACAATACTTTATGTAAATCAACCCCTACTGAAAAAATATGAGAAATATATGCAGCATTTAGTACCTAAGCCTGTAACGAAACTTGACTTCTCTGTCTGGTTGCATGCTTCCAAATCCCCACCGCCTGTGATCGATTTGTGGTATCTTCTCATCTGGATTGATCAGCTCAATGTCAAAGTAGACCAGCATGAGAAAAATAAACTGCTTGAGCTCATTGGTGGCAAAGAAGCGACCAGGGCACATGGACACCCCAGACCCCCAAGGCATGCTGTAGTACTTGACCCTCTTTCCCCCTCTGTAGAAATCTGTTTTCTTGGTACCTTCTGGAGTGAGGAACCGGTCATACTTGAAGGTGTATGGGTCAGGGTGGATTTCAGGGTCAACGTGAACAGAAACATATGGAAAAACAGACATGCGGTCTCCTTTGCGGAGTAAAAACTCACGACCATCAGCCATTTTCAGGGTCATATCTTGAAGGATAGCTCTGGTGAGCATTGGTGCTGCAACAAGACGAAGAGTTTCTTCAACAGCACTGTCTAGAACTGGGGTTTTTGTGAGCATTTCGTAGGTTAGGTCGACTGGAGGGCCACCAGGTCGGACCTCCTGCCCAGACTCCTTAAGAACTTTATCTACTTCTTTCCTCAAAGCCTCCATTGCAACTGGGTCCTTCATAAGGTAGAGAAGAAGCCAAAATGATGAAGGCCCAGTGTTGCCCTGAGATGCCCAAAGTAGTGTAAACATGTATCTGTCTATCATTGAATCTGTCATACCTTCCTCCCTACGCAGACTGTAAGTGTCCCGTATCCAGCCACTAATGTTGTCTTTGCTTCTCATTTTTTTAACGGATAGAGCGTCCCAAAAGTAATGCATCAATCTGAAAGCCTCTTTTCTTCCACTTGGGGGTAGGACACCATAAGCTAAATTAGGAAAAAGCTGGTCATATTTACGAAATTCATTAAACAAGGCTTCCGATTCAATTCTGTCTTTAGCCTTGGCTTTCTCATTATCTCCTTCGGTCTCTGATGTTGCGTTTCCGTACAGAGACAGGTAACCAGCTCTAAACAAAATGTTGTAGCAATAATTAAAAAGTCCATCTTCTGTCCAGGTTTTTTGGTTTGCAGCAGAGCCAAGATTGTGCAGCATGAGATTCTGCAAATTACTCATCATAGATTCTGTCATCATCTGCAGTCCGTGACCTTTGAGGTGCTTCTGACTATTTATGTCATTAATTGTGCGATCATTATCAGAAGCCTTATAGCCAAACACTCTGAAAACTAACTGTTTAGCAAATGCATTAAAGTTCAGTTTTTCTCTGCTTTCTTTCACAAATGCTCCAAATGACAAAGGGTCTTGAAGAAAGGTCACATAAAAGCCACAAAGCTGTATTGTAAAAACATCACCATGTTTTTGCCTCATTCTCTGTATAAATTTGGCAGTGTCCCTCCGGAACTCCAGGACATGACCCAGCCAAGGCATCCAACCTTTATCTAGGGGAGGCTCTCCTGGACGTCTTTGTCTAAAAACCCCCAGAATGTACAATCCACCAAAAATACAGGCAAGAAAACACAGAAGCAAAGGCAGCAGCAGACCCATGATTGATAGCTCTTGTTAGCACAGAGTTACTTGGTCTGAGGATGAGGCACATACATATAACAACTAATAGCTCCTCCCGCTGCATGAGGTACTGGCTTCCTGGAAACTTGAGTCATTGTTACATTGTCATACACTTTCTGTAGAATCCAAGATGCCTGAAAAGTATATTGAAGTTTCAATTTATGTATTTATTGTGGAAATTTCCTGCAAGGGGTTGTTATTGCACCATTACACTATTCTCTCTCTAGTCTAGCAGTAATATCAAAATAGGTGCTGGGCGTTGTTATGTATTTGTTGTTGGTATTATTAGTATTTTCTCTGTAGTTTCTCTGTGCTTACACAACTAATGGAGATCAAAATAAAAACTAAAACATGGTTAGGTATTTACATGCATATTATGGAATTTATTTAACTTTTTAAATTATGTATGTTTTGACCGTAATCTTTGCTTTGTGAAAGCAATGCAGAGGTGGATAGTACTGAATTACTTTTCTCAATTAACCTTTTAATAAAATTGTACCTTCTCAGAGTAAGTTTCAGATGCCCTACTTGAATAATATATTTTACTGAGTGAGTAAGCTTATGACTAAATATTTAGCACTAACAGAGACTTGCACTAACAGAGGCACTGATGTTAAGTTAAACATAATTTATTCAGTTAAAGGATATTATGCACTCTACATCAGAGCAAGCAATGATTTTGCACAAAACCATGAATGCATTGTTCTCACTGCTGACATCATATTGGTGTGAGATTTGCATGTTCTTCCGTGAATCTGTGCAGGTAATCACAAGCAGCTTTGATTTCTCACCAGTCTCAAAAAAGAGTCTGCCTTATTTTCCCACTATGAGTAACAGACCCATATATATATGTGTGTGTGTGTGTGTGTGTGTGTGTGTGTGTGTGTGTGTGTGTGTGTGTGTGTGTGTGTGTATATAAATGCATAAGGCCAAACCAAGTTGGCAGTCACCAAAAATTGCCAAAAGGTGACCTCTAGTGTCTCAACTACCAATTACACAAATGAAGAGGATACACAAGAGAGACATGCATCTAAATCTAGGCAAGGCAAAACTGCACTGAAGTCCAGTCAAGTGGACAAGCAGGCACACAGCACTTTTAAGGTGCGGGTGAGTGGCATGTGTGGGCAGACAGGGCCTCATTCATTTGCCATCTTTGCAAGGTATTGCCACCTGCCACGTGCATTTCAGTTGGATTTTTTAAAACACGAGTGACGTACACGAGAGGCACTTTAGCTCATCCAATCACAGAGCCTGAAATGTCAGAACAGGGCTTCATTTTACAAAGTTAACAGATAAGCTCGGCCAATATTTTTGGGCCAATATGTATGGTCAAAAATTTTCCTCCAAAATATTTAATTTAAATACACTAAAAACTCACCGACAGGATTTCACCACAAACCCGTAAGAGAGCGGCGTAGTCACATTTTCAGCAGTTATCTCTGTTCAAATAAAGCTATATGGGTAGTTCTAGGCTGCTGGTCACCAGAACAAAATATTAGCCTGTGCTGGAGATTCAAGGCCGACATGCTAAAAAGTCCAAATATTAGCTTGATATATTGGTTGGATATATTAGTTAATCTGTAGTGTGCTCCATTCACGTCAAAAAACAATATGGCTGCTAAAAGATAAGGAGAAAAAAAAACATAAAAGGAGTCAGACATACGAATAAAACAACATAAAGGATTTGCTCAAAATCAAAAATCATAGCACCAAACTATTATTTAACTCAGGTAAAATAAGTTCTATATTTTGTTCTGAATGTTAAAAGGAGATGTCCTTCAGATTTGAGAGACACATGACACAAATTAGTGGCTTTGATTGAACCGTCTCATTCAAATAGAACATACAGTAGAACGGACTGACTGGTCAGGCAAATGCCTCACATCTGTATAAAATTGACTTCAATTCAGCTCTGCTACGCTCTGGTTGCTTGGATCGCGCCAATCTCCTCTCCACTAAAATGGTAATTGTATGTATATGAGTGCTGAATGAGAGTGAGGCGTCAAGCCATAAACCAAGATACATTTTTCAACAGCTTTCATTGATGATGAATCAGTAAATGTTGAATTAATTTCATTAACAGAAGAGGTGTGTGTGTGCGTGCATGCGTGTGTGTGTGTGAGAAATTAAGCTAGTCTCTTATTATACAACTTATAGCTCAAGTTTAAATTTTGTCTTATTTATTTAACTTATTGGTCAAGTGTTCTTGTGCAAAAGATGAATCAGAATGATTCCCTCTTTCTCCTACAGCTAATGTGTATGAGGAAATGTTACCATGAGACGCATGTGTATGATAGAATCTCACCACAACATGACAACATGTCCTAGTCAAAGCAAAGTCTCTTGCTTCTGACATCTGTGCTCATGTCACAACTTGCAGTACTTGCCTGGTGCTCTGCCCCTTGTTGTGGCAGTGTCATCAGTCAATGTTATAATTTATATATTTTCAATTTCCAATAACAGATTTTCTTTGTTTTAATTAAAAGTGGCTCAAGTTTCCAACAGAATGCAATTATTATCAGCATTATGTACAATAATAATAATCATACATACATACATACATACATACACATACTGTATATACTTACTCATGGCTCACTCTGTCTCCCTCTGGTGGTCAAAGCTCATGTTACATGTGTATATCCCTCACTTAAAATTGCTCAAAACTTGCTGGGAACGTCTCCAAACAACCTCAAACAACCCAAGATGTACATATTAGAGATTTTTTTTTGTCATTTGAAGGCAGACTGAGTCATTGCCTTGCTGGTTTCCAAACAACCTCAGACCAACTCAGATGTCCATATTAGAGCAGAGGTTGTCAGCAGGGGGGTTGTGGAGTTACTGCAGGGTGGTCACACATTTTTTATTTTTTTTTTTTTTTGAAAGATGACAATAAACTTGTTTTCAGTGGGTTCATCATTCCCTCGTCTCTTGCTCCCTGTCAAACTGCAAATACATCTGTCTGGATTTTATTGTTTCTTCTTAAGGTACATGTGAAAAGTTCCGGTACAGCTTCACTTTTACGCACAGCGGAACTTAACCCTCTAGGTGCCACTGTCGATTTAAGTTGAAAAGATGACGCGCTGAATAAAACGGCTGATTTTGCTATATAGGATGTCAAATTTCATTTAAGTTCCCCTGCTACATGTCAGACATATAATATTACATCCCCGACTCAGAATACCACCGGACTTCTATACAAAATAAAGTTAGAGTTTGTTGAATTAGCACAAGCGTGGTTAGTTTGCAAGCGGAGCTAGTCTGTGTGTGAGCCAATGTATCAGAGTGATATTATCAACTTGCCAGGCAAGCAATGGCTGTTGAAGGGAAACAGTTTGAACGGAGGTTTGCAGTCACATAGATCTGATTCCCTTTTGCATTCATGGAGTTCACAAACAAATTTCTCGAGCCGTTTTCCAGTATTAGGACATCTAACAACCACACAATTACAATGTCCGAATCCCAAAACTAAAATATGATAATATTGAAACCAGAAACAAAAGTGACAGGGTTCAAAAGACTAGAAAAGACAAATATGGTGGTTTGATGATGCATACTGGGAAAATCCTTCCCAGTATGCACTGCGCAATGACCGGAAGTCTGAAATTCTTGATGGATGTATTATATGATATGAACGGGAGCATTTTGGAGAAGGGGGGGTTGGTTGGGCTTGTTAACATTTGGGTGGGCCCAGGCTCGTACAGGGAGGTGTTACAATCACGCATTTTGGGTCAGTAGAAGTTGAAGACCGGGAGGGGGGGGGGGGCCTGGCCTGGTTGCACATATTGCCAGTCCAAGTTAGGTGTTACATTATCTTTAAGCAAATTCCACAATGGCCGCTCCTCTAGGCTTCATATAGTCCAGAGAGGGACCATGTAACATGGCATCTTGTAGATACTTGCAGATATGTCCAAATAATTACCCTACTAGCATCAGGATCTGCAGCAGATCTGCTATCGGTCCACCAAATCCGCACCGTAGTCCACCAGCTTTGTGGAATTGCTGCGTATTTGTTCCGTATTCACTTTCTGACTGTTGCTAAACCTAACCCCTTGGGTAGCCTGCTGTTACAGAGAGAATCTGCAGTTAAATAATCTTAGATCCGTACTTTTAAAACAACACTTGTTAAATTTGTACGATCAATGCATTGATCCGCGGCTAAACCGGTTTGGATTCGCTGTGCGGACACACCATTGACTTATTATTGGGTCCTGAAAGGAAAGAAGCAGCACCCACTTGTTGTCTGAGGATTTAAATGTAAATAATTGTTTAAACGTTAATTTTATTAGCCATCAAAACTTCCGGCAAGATGGCGGACTGAGCGGGGGACCTTTCAAAGCTCTGAACAAAGTTCCTCAAAATAGCTATATCAAAGAACGGACTTTCTCAACAGAAAAGATTGGTTTGACGCTTAAAAGACTTTTTAAAAAAAGAGACGTAACGGATCCGAAAAAGCTAGCTGCGGGCTTGCCCATCACGACTACGCTGCCATGGAAACCACTTGCGCCGGACCAGAAAAGCGGCAACTTGAATCTCCACCACTCAAAGGTGCTCTGGGCAAAAGGACAAAACCCAATGAAAACTCATCATTTGAAGCCATAATGTCGGCAATAACTCAGCTGACTGTTCGTTTTGAGAAGCAAGAAGAAGCTTTGAGAGAGAACAGCATCATCGTCAGTAGTCTGGCTAAGTCACTCGAATTTCACGCCGCGGAGCTAAAAGACTGTAAAGGCCAAGTGTCCGCGCTAGAAACAAAAGTGGAGATATTGGAAAAGGAAAATCTGGTTTTGCGTCAAACAACAACAGAACAAGAAAGTTACAGCAGGCACTGGAACTTAAGAATAAAGGGAATGAAAGAAAAGCCGAATGAAAATATACGAGAGAAGGTGGTCAACCTTCTACAGAAAGTGGCACCGCACTGGGCGCGGATCATGGAAGAGGCTGTGGACACTGTTCACCGCAACGGGAGGAAGGAGGAA